AATATTTGGCCTCCCCTCAAAACTCTAGCTCCAGAGTTTTCCTGCCCTCAAGTCTCTTTCTGCCCTCAAAGAGGACAGGTGGGAAAAATATCTAGAAATGCCAGAAACGTGGACATTATTCAGAGCAGGATGGAAAATGAAAACTAAAATTCATCAACAGTCTATTCAGCAAAGAACATGTCCATTTAAGGTCAAGAGTTTTATCCCATGGGTCATTCTGTTTTTTTTTTACTGGGACAGGAGAGTCCCTCCAATTAGGGTACTTTCTGGGAAGGGAAAATAACCCTTGTAAAGCCCACACTTTCAAATGAGAACACAGAAGGAGTGAAAATGTTCAGCTGTGCTCAGGCCTACCTTGCACTGCCATCCCCTTGGCTCAGAGCAGCAGCCCTCGCTCCACGCTGTGCCCAGTGCTCCTCTCCCAGGAGCCCTCCAGCAGATGCAGAAGGAGAGCTGCTGGCTCCCACAGCAGAAGGAGACTGGCCATGGGTCTGAGATGCCAAGCACCCCCTCGTTTCCACTGCCCAGCCCCCCAGTTTGCACAGAGCCCCAGTTTGTGCAGTTCCCTGGCTCCAGCAGTGGGTGAGAGCCAGGCCTTGTCCTCACGCAGCTCAGCTTAGGGCTGGCGACACCAGTGCCCCCTCTGATCCCCTTCCTCCCACCTGGGGAACTCTTGGATCATATGTAACCTGTGCCCCCATAAACTCTATAGAAAAGAAGAGTAGAATTCCATCTCACCCACTCTTATTTGTCTGTGTTTTACCTCATTGCTTTAAAAGTTTATTTGGGGTCCAGTTTGGTGAAACACCTTGCTACACATTTTCTGCACTCAAAAAAGCAGGCACAAGCTTAACTGGATCCTGAAGCTTTTCTGTATCAGGGTCTTCCTGGTGTGTATTTCAGTCCAGTGCCCACCCACCACTAATTGACTTGAAGGCAAGATACTGAAACCAAGAACTAGAGAAAGAACACATTTCAATGTCTGATACAAGCCTAAATGCACTGAGCTTCTATAAACACAGGATTCAGTCTAAATTACATCAGCATAAACCTGTAAAAACTATTCATTTGAGAATAGAATATTTAATTTCATTAAAAACCAGAACTGCAATTTCACAGCTCTAAATCATGTAAAATAATAAAAGTAGTGAATCAAGAATGGACTTTTTGGTTCAAAATTAGATTAATCAGTAGAATAAAAATCTTGTTGGCACAAGTGATAAGAAAGTGTGCACAGTAGTTTAGTACTTGAAACATTCATTAAATAGACATAGTTCAGTATTGTATGGAAGAATATTCCTTGTACTTTTGCCATTTACCCAGATACCTCTTATCTGCTGCTGCTGCACCCTTGCCCAAAGCCACACTGCTTTAACACCTTCTTGAAATGTTTTAATTCAATATAATTTCCAAATGGGTTCTATTATTCATTGTTTTGGAAATATTCTTCTTTACACAGTCAGAGATTTTTTCTGTGTGACCACCACTCTCTCAGGGATGAGGGCAATCATATGTAGACAGCACAGCATATCTAATGTACTCCTTCTCTAAAAGACCACAAAAGAAACAAATATTGTTTTTTGCCCTCAGAAAGATTTAGCAGTTCCTTTCCACAGCTCATATTATCCAAAGCTCTCAGGACAGGCAGACACTTGCTCACAACGAGGCTGAGCTGGGAAAAAAGGGGCTCCTCATCTGCTTTGCTGGGGATGTGACAGTGGTCAAAGGGCTGGCAGCAGCCTGCAGAGCTTTGGCCATCAGGTCTCTAGGCCTGGCTACCCACAGCTGGCTGCAGGCTCACCAGTGGGAAGATGCACATTGTGTCTCCAGCAATGACTTATTTAGGAATTGGGCTAGATGATCTCTGAAGGTCCCTTCTAACACAAACAATTCTATGATAATTTTTCCTGTGACTATTCCTTTTTGTCAGCACAAACACTTTTTTTAATTTCTTTTTTTTTTTTTTTTTTTCCCAAGAAAATACCTCAAAGATGGCAGTCTGAGATCTGGAATTGTTGTCAAAGAACTGCAGGCAATGAAGTAACAGCCTGTCCGTGGAGCAAGCCACAGAATTTGGAACCAAATGGACCAGCATGGCCATGTTTCTCAGTAAAAGGCCTTCTTTTAGCGTGGCTAAGGTAGTGCTGGCAAACCAAGTACTGCAGATAAGAGATTTGTTCTGAATGTCATCCCTGGATTCTGACTTGCTGCTTAGATATTGTAATTTTAAAATCACAAGGGGATAAACCACCAGTCTAGATGGTATACAAGTTGGTTAAAAATGCAGATCATTGATAATTGTCAGAGATTTCACTTGTGAGCTCTCCCTGCCTCTGGGCAGCAACCATACAGGAATTTTTCCCCACACTGTAGCATTCATGATCCACTGTTCCCTCTCCAAGATCCACCACTGACAGTGCCTGGTCTGGGGTGCAATTATTAGGAGAGATTGGAAATCGGATACTCCCGAGGGTGTCACATCAGAAGGAACCCTGTTATTGGGGCTGGTACATATCCTGCAATAGAAATAAAATAGCTCTGAAAATGCTACAGGTATTTAAACCGTTTATGAACATAAAAATTGGATTTCACAGGATTAACACTGCAGAGTGCTCCCACTCTATCATCCTAACCACTCAGCTTGGAGGAGCTGAAAGCCCCTGGGGTGATTTTCTGAGTTCCATGGAGTAGCATGATGCAGTAATGATTTAAAAAGCACACTTTCCTTGGACTAACTCTCCTGTCATTTCTCATTTCAGCGACTATCAGGTGGTGTAAAACCAGGCAGCTCTTCTTTGGCACAGGTTCCCTCACGGCCCTCGGCAGAGGCATGGCCAGCCAGCCTGGGAGGAAGGAGGAAGCGTGTCGGGAGCTGGAGCTCCCCATTGCCTCCCAACACCTGTGCGAGGGCAGCTGCAGGAGCTGCACAGCCGGGACCCAGCAGATGGCACTCCTGGATGGCCTTTCCTGGATGGACCACGGGCAGCATCTGCCTCCAGCTGCCTCCGCTGCCCATCCCAGCTGCCCTCCTGGGAGAGGGCTGTGGGCAAGGCAGGCTGTGCCCGGGCAGGCGGGCTGAGCTCTGCCCTGCCCGCCTCATTGGAACATCTGCCCAAGCTGCTGCGGGCACAAGGCTCGGAATCGCTGCCAGCACCTGACACAGAGGACCAGTCTTCTGGGGGCTCGTGCTCCTCTGCCAAGGAAAAAGAGCCAGGGCTTGGCCTCTTTGGAACTAATTCCTGGCTTCTCCCCAGAGCCTCGCTGGGTCAGACAGATGTTACGTGAGAAGGCAAACCTTTGGGCTGCACAGTAAATACAGCATCCCAGAGGGTCTGGAGAGGTCAGCATCTCACACATCAGAAAATCCTGGAGTCCCAGAACAGCTGGGGTTGGAAGGCACCTCTGGAGATCATCCAATCCAACCACCTGCTCACACCATGGTCAGCTAGAGCATGTTGTCTGTGACTGTGTCTAGCTGGGGTTTGCATATATCCAAGGATGGAGACCCTGCAACTTCCCTGGACAACCTGCTCCAGTGTTTGACCCCTTTCAGAGTAAGAAAGTTTCCGTTTGTTTAAGTGGGATTAGTTGTATTTTAATTTGTGCTGATAGTCTCTTATCCTGTCACTGGGCACTGCCGAAAAAAGGCTGTCTCAAACTTCTTTACTAACCCAATCAACTATTTACACACATGACTAAAATCTCCCCAAGCCTTTGCTTGGGGTATTTGATATTTTTTCTTTCTTATGAAACTACACCAAAATTTGGCAAGCCCGGTAAGGAATCTGCATAGGAAACACAACAGCTCTGAAAAGTCAAATCTGTTAGATTATTTATGAATACAAAAACTGGCTTTTAAAAAGGATTTTCCAGGATTAGCACCATGGAGTGTTCCCAGCTTTATCATTCTGCACAAGTAGGCAGGGTGCTACTTAGAGATCATCCCACTGGAAGAAGAATTTCGATGTTATGTTCCTAAGCACAGGGCAGAGATCGCGGCAGGGTGCACATCCCAGCACACAGCAGGTGTTTCTTTGTTTTAGGTAAAGACAGCCAACCCCAGAAACTGGATCAAACTATTCCCAGCTTAGAGGAGGAGATTTCAAGCCTGGATCGTGGTCTCCTGAAGTCTGCTGTTGACAGATCCAAAACACGGAAGGTTTTTCTGGAACTGGGGCCCAGGTGCAATGATGTTCAGTAGGTTAGTTCAAACTTTTAGAAATGAGATGGTTAGTTCAAGTTTTTAGAAATGTTACTCAGTTTCACCCTTGTTGGACCTTCTCACTGTAATAACTAGCTCCTGATAGGAGGATATGCTGGGAATTTCATGTGTTTTTACTTGACAAGCACTGGCTCCTCCAGATATAGATGTCTGCATGCCAAGCCATTATATTCTTCACAGAATGATTTAATAGTGATTTCTTTATTTATTTCTAGGCTGCATCCTGCTTGTTTGCCAGTGGAAATCTGCCTGCGGGGTTTGTTTCATGTCTCTTGCAAAGAGATGTGGAAATCTGCCTTCCCAGCTTTACCAAAGCACTCCCAGCCAATGTGAGGAGAGGGTGCCAGAATGTAACAGCTCCTGTGCTACATGGGAAATGCATTGTCTGGCTGAAAACTGTTGGGCTTTAGTGGTTGTCTCCTCCACCACTTTCTCCTCCTTCTACACCTCCTCCTGCTCCTCCTCCTCCTCCTCCTTGTCTTTTAGAATTGTTGTTAATGATACATTTGATTTCCAGAAGAAGCAAAGCACTATCTTTCAGCCCTGCCAAGGAGCCTTATCTGCATACTATGCCTGAAATGTAGATTTCTCTTTAGTCATGAACCCACACTTATCATGCTCAGCTTTATTAGTCCCACTCCCCCAGGCTCTTTGTTTAAGAGAAGTCTTTCAACCCACTTTAATCCCTGCTTCCTACAGAATGGAGATAAAAAGTCTTCCTCCGTTGTATTGTTTAAAGCTGAGCATTACACGAGAGACACCACAAGGGTCTTATTGCAGCTTTTATTGCGTCCAGGTACAAGACCACGTTCAGACTCTGGAGGCCTTCACATGTTCCATGTTGAGACACAAAAACAGGTAAGAAAGGGGTTTGATGCAAACCTTACTGGAGTCAATGGAAGGGCTGCTGTCAGATGACTGCAACAGGTCTTTAATCACAAATTTAATTACTTGAGCTAGTGGGGTTTTAGAGGTGATTTAATGGGTTTCTAGATACTGGCTTTCAGCATTTCATCCAAATCAGCTTCTGACAAGGGTTGTGAGACTGTCCGCCATATACCCTTGACTTCAGTTTAGGTAAAGTTCTTTATGGGAGCATGAGGTGTATGAGACCATTTAGTTGAGTTTCAGTAATGTTACTCTACACTAGAGAAGAAGAATGATTCAACAGTGGATTTATAAGAGTTAAGTTGACATCCTCATTATGGCATCATTTGAAAACAACACCACAGACATCAACAAAAAAAATGCTGAAGATATTAGAGATAGATTCAAAATGTCCTGAAAGTTGCATTGGATTCATTGAAATGGCACTGAACTTTTTCAATAAACTCTTAGTGGAACAACATTGAAGGGTTGTGCCATGCCCATCTTTAGCTAACATGAAGGCTGTAAAAAAAAAAAAAATCTGTAAAATTCTAAACAGATTTGTACAGCAGAAAAGTGACGATGTTACAGGAAAGCACGTCTTGTAATGGGAAAAGTACCTGTTTGCCAGACATGTACCAGAGATATCCAGCAGCACATCTGAGCAACAGAGATGTCAGAATGAAGACATCTTGTTCTGTCTGCAGCTGGCCACAGAAATATGCAATTTTTTTTTTTTATGTTCCTTCCTTCTGTTGGTGAATACATTCTGTAGAGGGATGGCAAGCTGGGGCGGTTTGATGTAAAAATTTCCTATGGTTGGCAGGAGAGGCTGGAAAAAAAAGGGTTAGAGATCTGAATGAATATGCCACTTGATAAAGTCAGCATTAAAGATCCCTGTTCTTGTTCTTAACACGCTCCAACCCAACCGGATGTGCGGATTCCCACCCAGAGCTTTCATCTCTCAAGCTGTCCAGATGGACCAAATTCACACTTGTCAGTGCCAAACTGTAGCCCTGAGCTCTGCAGGGTAGTGTGGGAGGAGAGCAAAGTACCTCCATTTCTACAGTCTTTTCCCAGGCCTTGTAAATCCAGTTGTGGTCCTGGGTGTAGTTGTGCATCCAGGCTGCAAATTAAAGCTTCAAAGGAAGCCAGTGTGAATTGGTACCTGTCCAGTCAGGCAACTTGGAAAGGCACAGCCTAGAAACCTGAGCTGGTATAACAAGTCAGCAGAACACTTGGGTTTACCTGAATCATCATCATACCTTACTAATGAAGTTGGGGGCTCAGCTACCAGCAGGCGAACTCCTTGGGAAGTCAAGATTCCACAGTCCTAACTGACTTGAGTGTTTTTACTACTTCTTCTCAGATCCTGAGATGAGTAAACACGCAGGCAAGATCCCTGGCATCTTGGAGCAAGAGTGTATGAAAACACACTGAACTGACTTAATGGAAAGTCAGTAAGAAGACACAGCTGGCAAGGAATGCAACAAGAGCTCTTCAGAGATGGTGCTGAGGTGCCTGAAACAAGAAGCAAGCAGAATTCAGGTGATTGAACTCACTGGACTGCTGAACTTTGTCTCCAGGTCTCTTGGCTTTTCATCTCAACACACAAACATCATCAGGAAGAGGGAAGCAAGAGCCCACGTATCCCAGTGCTCTGACAGAGCCAGGCCTCTTGTTTGTCCTCTTCTGTTCACTGATTCCTGCAGCCTTGGCTGTGTTGTGCCCACCTTCAGCAGTAGGATGGAAGAGCCCTAGAACAAGTTGCTCTGGAGCATGATTATTAAGATTTTCTTGGGAGAGATGAGAATTCCTTCCACTACAGCATGTGAGGGACCTTACCACACCAACTGTAGCAGGTAGTGGTTCTTCCAATGCAGCTGTGCATCCATATCCATTCCTATCCATTCCTATCCTACTCAGTGGAGAAACACTGAATTCCTACAGAGAAATGCAGAATTTATTGTATCCCTTTGTTCAGCATTTTTATGGCTTGTCAAGCTTCCTAGTAAATGTTTTGGATCAATCTGAAAAGGCACCAAATTTTTCCCGTAGTCTTGGAATTATTGTTCAGGATCTTGCCTGTGACTCTGGGCACAGATCCACAATGGTATGTGATGGGTTTTCAGACATGGCATCAGTGGACTCTTCTCTATTTTTGGCTTTGCCAACAGTGCCTGTCTCTGTTTCCCTGAACTAGGATTAAATTGAGATTTTTTAGTTCCTCCAGCACAGAGCCTGTACAAAGTCAGACACCTGCACACACATACACAACCTGTCAAGCTTGGGGCTTTAAGACTCCGGTTTCAACAATGTGTGACTCCTTCCCACAGCTCTTCAACAGGCCAGTGAAGGCCATTCATCGAGGGTCAAGTCTGGCCCGTGATGTCGACTAACTACCTTAACATTATAAGATGAATCCATGTTTCTGACATGAAAATGAGATGGGGAAACAGAGTTGCATGAATGGGTCAGCCTGAGCATCAGCTTGGAAAAAACTAGATCTTGTCTCAGCTAAGCGAGCAGCAAGACAAATCCATGTATTATGTTTTACATTAGCAAACTGCCTCATAGCTCCTCAAGCACAAGACACTGTTCAGTGGTTATTTGAGGATATACAGACATACAGCAACAAAAGGAAAGGTTTGAAGGCAGCCACAGACACGCACTCATCTCCTTGGTACTGTGAAGTGCTGCATATGTATAACCCTCACCGCCTCATTTGGCACCTCAGCAAGGCATGTTTGCTTGGTCTGGACACTGTTAGAGCAGCCACACATATTCTGACAACCTTCTTTGTCCCCTCCTGTGCCCCTGCATTTGATATATATATGTCAAGAAGAGATAGGCAGTGTGTGTTTAGTTTGTCCCCTCCATTCTTCCCTTGACACTTCATCTTAGTGCTCCATACACAGCACTGTTTCTCATTCACTGTCCAAGCCAACAGAAAAAGTATGAAACAGAAGAGAAGCAAGCACCTCTCAGACCCCACACTTACAATGTGGAAGCTGCATCACTTCAGTGTGGCCAGGAGTAGCACCAGTAAAAGCTGGTGGATGGGAGATGGTTTCCTGCCTGACCAGTTTGGTATCATTGCTGGCATTTTGTAGGTTCTGGAGATGATGATGCAAAGATACCTGAATACAAAATCAACTCAAGTCAATCAAGCCAGAGCTGCTGACATAAGCCCTGAGGGGTGGGAGGGAGGTGGAGGCAGAACCTTGAACCATCACGCTGAATATTTCACGCTCGGGGGTGCCGGAAATCCTGCTGCTGTGGCATGGAACAGCCTGTGGAGACAGCCTGGCCTTGGCTCCCAGTGAATTTACCCTGCAACAATCAGGTGCACAGGAGTGAAGGGTTTCTGCAGGAGCCAACCTGGACCAAAGTTGTTGAGTCTTTGTAAAGTTGCGCAAGTATCTGTGCATCACGCTTCAGGAGTTTTACAGTACTGGGAATCCCAGCCCAGTATTTCCCCAGCTGGTGGGGAGTTGTCTATAAATCAGTGCCTATTTAGCATTATTTGTCTTTAAAGCCCTGAGTTAACTTGGCTGACAGCTGACTGACAAAGGCATTCATTATCCCAAACAGGGAGGCAAAGGCATTTGCTTAACATCGGGTGAATCAGGGGCAGCCCAAGGATGTGCACTGATAGTCTCTGGCTCCCCAGAATAATTCACAAGACTTCACTGCCTCTCATGCTAATGGCTTCCATGCCCAGAGAGCATTACCAAAAGCCCTGAGTGTGAGAGAGGTGCCTTCGAGGAATCTTTGAAGGGTCTCCAAGACAGGGCATGCAGGAAATGCCTGAGCGATGGCTTAATTGGCCGTGCACCTGAAGTCTCTGGGATCCTGTCATGCACATTATGCCCCTAATATCTTTTCAAGAGAAGGCATTTTCCTATCCATTTCTGCAGCTACGTGTCTGAAATGCACTTAAGTCAGGTAAAGCAATTTGCTTGTATTTACCTCTAGATCAAAAGCTGTTCTGATATTCAGGTATATTTGAATTACAATTAAACTCACAGCTGTAACAGCCCTTTCCACGCCTGTGTTATCACTCTGGTTTGAGGCAAGTGAGTGGGAGTTAGAAGGTGCCTGAGAGTATGGGCATCTTTAACAACATGAATGAGTAAGCAGGAAAGGTTTTGGATTGCAGATGTTTTAGTTCAGCTTAGGGGCAGACACTTAGGTAAGCTTTCCATAAAAGTCTGAACAACTGCAGTTCAGACATGTGCTGCTCCTAGGCGAACACTTCCCTATCTCTTCTCCTTCAAACACAGCAGCTGTGCACTCGTGAGAAGAAGTGGTGTCAAATTAATAGTCAGTAATGGCTAAGAACTGATGAATCTCTCAGATGAAAGGCACCATATAATTACAAACTTTTGTCATTGTTTGTTATTATGAAGGGCTGTTACCCCTAAAAATGTTCTTTTTTATGTGTTTGCAAGATTTTTTTAATGGTTTGAGCTCTTGCATCTTGCTATTGCTTTATTCTCAGGCTTTTGGGGATTTTTTTTTAAAAATTTATTTTCATTTAGTTCTTTTCTCTAAAAGAGGTTTTTGCCTTTTCTGTTTCACGAGGTTTCTCAACATGCCATATAGGTGGTGTAGACAAGATATTTGCACACCCACACTGAAAATATTGCCTGAAAGCTGACTGTATTTCCAGGCATGCCTTAGCTGAAAATGCAGTATTTGAGCTTAATATTTTGTTTCTTAACAGCGTTTCTGTAAACTGCAGTGCTTGTTTGAAACAGACAAGACTTATGAAAGAAGATGGAAAAGTTCTTAGAAGTAAAAGTTGATCAAGTCCAGCAGTGATCTGGTCTGTGCATCTGTGTGTGTCTGGGCATGTGTGCGTGCAATGCCAGGCTGCAGCTTGTAAATAAGAACCACAATAACAAGGCAGATATAAAATAAACAGCTCACAAGATCAAAGAGACAAGTACTCAATATATGTGAAACAGAATATCAGACATAGCAGTAAATTCGACCTGCCTGGAAACTTAAACCACTTCTATGTCAGGACCATGGCTGGAATAACTTCACGGAGTTTAGCGGTGACCCAAGGACAAGTTTGGCATGGGATGAATTTTTTGTTCTTGGGTAAGTTGTGGCATAATGTTGAAATTATTGTTACTGAAGTATGGTTGACTCAAACTGCTGAGGCTCCAAGCAGGAGTTTGGTTGTTGTGAACAGAAACTGCATGCAAAGTTAACAGAGACTAGTTTGGACAGTGATTGCTTCCAGTTGATTAAAGTAAGATAACCATCCTGCTGAAAACTGTAACTGAATTTCCCCAACCATTCACTCTCAGAAGGCTTCAATTAGACTACTGTGCATGCCTTCCTCTGCCCTGAAACCACACTGCTGCTGCTCTCTGAGCCACCATGGGCTCTCACCTCCCACTGCCATGAGTCTGTAGAAGGTGGAAACACACATCCTCAGCTTTCAGATAAAGGGATGAACATTTTCAGTTTTGATCCAACTAGCTGCTTCCTTTGGTTTGCTACTACTTTGGTAAAGGTTCAAACAGAGGAGCTGAAAGATCTGTTCTTGGGATAAAAAATTCTGGCCTGTTGGGTTTCTTCCTGCAGGACCCTGGTTCTGAGCTGCATGTATGTGCACCTCTCAGTTTCACTACTGCATCTTCAGCACAAGTTCTGTACACTGCTAATGCTTTGCTGGGCAGGAACTGTGTGGTGAGTGATGGAACTCTGGGCTTTATGAAATCACAGAAATAATCCAAATACAAAAGTACTGATATTGCTGAGTTCTTAAATGAATAAAGAGCTTCAGAACCCGGGGAGAGAGTAATGATTCAA